GGGGAATTCTGGGAGTTGAAGTCCACCCGTCTTAAAGTTGCCAAGGTTGAGAAACCCTGGTCTACCATAACCCAAAATCAGGAGGAGTCTGTAGCAGCTTTTCAGACTAACTATTTCAAAAGAGTTAATTGCATGACACAAGCAGCTTCTCCCAAGGAAAAGCTAAACTTTAGGTTAAACTTCCAAGGCACCTGACTAGTTTGTCTGTAATCTGCCGATTCTAAGTGAACTGTGCAATCTTGCGACATCAAGCTGAAGCCAAAGTGGTATGCGGGGACCATCGTCCCATTGCTGGACCCCGACATCAGTCAACATTAGCAGACATAACCAAAACTGTATTCAAGAGAATAAGAGAGAAGGCATTAGAATAGCAGGTAAGTAACGAAGTGCTGACGGGAAACAAAATACGTGGGAGTTTCTAAGCTTGCTTTGTCCAGTTCTCAGAGCAAGAAGGACTCTGAAATAACTACGTCTGCTCAAGGACAAGGTTGTTCTTACTTTAAATCAACCATTATTTGTTCTTCATAAGGGATGCAAGAAAGATGATGACTGTAATCAACATTGCTGGATTGCTTGAAAACATTTGTCTGCTCCCCTAGGAGAACCCCCAAGAGCTTCAGATCAATCCAGCTTCAAAGCCCTTCTCAGCTGTTCTGGTTTTACTGTCTTGAATAAGGGGGAATTTTTCCTGTGCCAGTCACAGGACTGGAACACGGAAATTGCTTTTTCAACCCAACTTTTCCCCTCATCTTCTTCTATTCCCTTGCATGGCAATTCCCAAATACAGGTAGTCCTTGCTTAACAACCATTTCTTTAGTGACTGTTCAAAGTTACAATGGTGTTGAACAAAGGGACTTACAACCAGTCCTCACACTTATAACCATCACAGCGTCCCTGCGGTCATGTGATTGCAACCTGGGCGCCTGGCAACCAGCTAGCACTTATGATGGTTGCAGCGTCCTGGGGTCACATGATCACCATTTGTGACCTTCCCAGCCAGCTTCCTGCAAGCAAAATCAATGGGGAATGGCATGATTCACTTAACAATTGTGTGATTCGCTTAACGGCTGTGGTGATTTGCTTAATGACCATTGCAAAAAAAGTGGTAAAATCAGGCACGACTTGCTTAACAACCGCCCCACTTAACAAGAAATTGTCTTGTCCCCATTGTGGTTGTTAAGCAAGGACTACTTGTAATTGCTCCAGCAAACAGAAGCCTCTGAGGCTTAATGCGTTTATAAATGTGGCTCTACCAACCACCCAAAAAGAGAAAAAAGAGCCAGGAAATCTCTCCACCCTTCCCTAATTATCATGGCATCACTGATCAATCTGGGACAAGCCAACATGACACATTCGTATCCTGCGCAAGAGGCCTGTGGTGACCTGTGCAACAGGAAGGACAGAGTTTGGGGCTGCAAACCTGCACATCGCAAACTGAATCAATATACTCCAGGTAAATCCATTGGGATAAATGCTTCATGTAAAGTCTATAGTTTAATCCTTCTTTCGTGCTAATTGGTCCCACAGGCGTGAGCATGGCCTCTAGGGGGGGGATTCTTTCCTGCAGAGTATTCATCCTGAGTCTTCAGGAGTTCTGCGTCACTGAAAAACTGGAAGGCTATCTCTTCATAGGACAACGACTCTCCACACTCAAACAAGCAGCCGAAGAAGAGTGAGTCTTCCCCTTGGCAAACAGCCAGGTCTGAGTAGCCACTGGGCCCTTGATGCAAGACCCAGGGGCAGTTCCAGGAGTCTCTCTGCATCGGGCAGGTGTTCAGGTAGATGCCCAGATCCACACGCTTCTTTGGGTTGGTGGGATGGGAGAAGATCAACCACGACTTGGGGCTCTTTGAGGAGGCAAGGGGAGACTTAGCCCCCAGCTCTAGCGGAGGAAAACTCACCACACTACCTTGACAGCCATGAGAGGTCTCCTGCAGCTTCGGAGACTGGAAGGAGTCTTCAAAGAAGCATCCACCATCTCTGCTGAAGGCCTCAACCCGGTATTTGTCAGAGCTGCGGGCATTACAGTATAACACTAGGCTATTGTTCTGGTCCACCAGTTCGGCAATTTGGCACTCCGAGGCCTGCAGTGTTTTGAGAAGTTGGCCCTTCAGCCAAGTCTGCCCACCATCATCGCTGTAGAAGGTGAAGGAGTGAGGTTTGGTGCAACAGAAGAGCGGGTGCCCCAAGCAATGCCTTTGGATACAACAAGCATAGGCTGGGATGACCAGCCGCCCAGAACTCAACTGCACTCCATGGCCTGGTCCCACAGCAAAAGTGGCCCAGTTTCTCAGGTTGTCTCCAATCACCTGCTCAGTCAGGTCTATCATTGGGCTCCACGTGCGTCCAGCATCTTTGCTGAAGATGTAGCCCAGCCTGGCAGCATTCCTGCTTGTAAGGATCTGCTGTTGTGTTGTGATGTGGTCCAGAACACAAATGAAGAACAAGAAAACGGTGCTGTTCATCACCTCGTAGATGGGGCAAGGATTCATGGTGCGGTATTTTGGCAAACTGGCTGTACTTAGAAGTTCTTGGGGACTCCACTAGAGAGAAGATACGAAATGGTAAGCTGCAGAGAACATCTACGCTGCTATTCAACTAGTGTCATGCTCAAAATAACTGGGTCTAGATGAAGAGCGAGGGAGTCACAACCATCACCACAACTATGGCAGTTTTCATGGCTAACTTATTCCTTACCTGATTTCCCCTCCCCGTTTTTTAAGATATAATTTTCATGGCATCTATTTTAAACACAAAACCAGAGAGGTAACCCAATCAGGCCTAGAGAAACTATGTAAATGGCATTTCATGGGTACAATGGCTACTAAGAATAATATATCAAGTCTCACTGACTTCAATGGCAATGAAAGGTTGCTAACCCACCTTCGATCCATCTCATAATTACGGTAGCTATTAGCCTAATAAAGGTTGGTGATAGAAACACATATCATGGAAGACTGACTTGAATTCTGCTACTTTCGCTTTCTCAGGAGTTCCTCTTCTAAGCATCAATTCCTTTCCATGCCCAAAAGCATCAAAGGAAGATGGAAGAGAACCGATCCTCTGCTTATATGCCGACAGATAACAGGGTGCCAACGTTTTGAGGGGGTCCATAAGGATTCAAAGCTATGGATCGTGCATCCAGGCTGATAACCAGAGAGGAGACAATGTTGTTCAATTGATAGTAATGCCAGGGTGGTACTCTCAAAACGAGACAGGATCGGGACAAAGCAATTGACAGTGCCAGGACTAAACCCGTGCTGGATTTAGCAAAGGCAAAGAAAAGTAAATGTAATAAATGAAACACTATTCATAGGATCACTTGCTGTGTTTTGCAATTTCTCCCTTTTAATGACATCATCTATTACCATGGGATGCCAACCTTTGGAGAAGGTGGAGAGGTACCAACGCTGTTGAGGTGATGGAAACCCTCTGCTCCAGAGAAGTGAGAAACTGGGAAAATAAAGGGAAGAGGAATGAAGAGAACTGGTGGAACTGAGGACATGGAGAGAAGAGAGACAGAGAAAGTCAGTAGGAGAGGAACCAAAAATATTTTCAGTACAGAAGAAAGAAGAATGAGAGCATTAGGGAAGAGAAAATAGGCGGAACTGAGGATGTGGAGGGGGGAAAAATCAACAGATGAGGAATTGCAAGTATAGAAGAAAAAAAATGAAGATGCAGAGGGAACAAGAAGTGTGGCCATTGGTGGAATTGAGAAAAATGGAGAGAAAGGGCCTGTGGCAGATTTATTGAGGCCCACAGGATGGAAGGTTGTGGTCTCCAACCACCTCTCCTAGAAGCTCCCTGGGTCTTCACCTTCCGGTCCCACCTCCTACTTTGGGGTAGCAGCTTGTCAGCTCCTGTGCTACCACCTATCTTCTGGGGTGGGATGGGGAGAAAATGTTCAAAAATGCCACCTCTTAGCCATGTAGCACAGAGATGGCTAGATAATCCCTCCCTCCCTCCCCTCCCCAACTAACCATTGCACGAGAGATAAAAACAATCAAACTTTATTTTAGAAAAGCTAAAAGACGAAACTCTAACTTCGTAAACGAGACTGAGACTTCAGTAAAACTATTGTAGGTCATGCCCCCGGCTGAGACTTTGGCCAGACATTTCCGGAGACAAACAGGAGACCGGCTCTCCAGAAGCCGCAAGCTGCAGCAGCCCTGAGACCATGGCCTCATCTCACCGCGACTGCATCGATGCCCGGGGCGCACAGGGCCATTCCACCCCTCCCTGCTGCTCTCAGACACCAGCCCTGCTGCAACATGGAAGGTTGCCAGGCTCTGCGCAGCACCGATTAAAATTCGTCAGAGGATGAGCTGGCTGTAAACTAGTCTTAATGAGCGTCTACTTTGTCATCCTAGCGTGCTCTGTAATTTGATGGGTAGAGTCTGGTAACCTTAATGACCCCCACACCCATCTAATGCTCCTACCTCTTCTTTTAGATTCTTTTGAACTCTTCTTTTTTATATACACTTTGTTTTAATACATATATTTTTTATATCTCCTAGCTTTTCTTTTTCTTTCAGATTCCTTTTAGATATACTGTATACTTTCTATTTTATATCTTTTAGATGATGATGATGATGATGATGTACGTTCTATGCTTTTTAAATTGACCATACCCCACCCTCCTTATGCTGGTCTTTGACCGTAATAAAGATTTGATTTGATTTGATCTGACCCCGTGGAACCAAGTTCTGCCGTGCAGGGTCTTCCAGCTCAGGGATCCTCAGCTGGTTCGAAAGCAGGATAACCGGGATGCAGTTCTGATGCGGGAGGGCTCTTTTCAACCGAGGGCAAGCGCTGGAGGCTGATTCTAAGTAGCCTCAGCGCTGGGCTCCGTTGAGGGCATTGTGGTTGGTCCTGCTTGAGTGCCATGTCGATCATCTTGGCTCTCTCCTTTGAAGCTATGGGGGCATCCTGGGGCTAAGCCCCCTGCCAGAACCTGCCCTTCGTTATCTGAGCCTATCCTCTCCTGTTGCCACTCATTGTCCCCTTGATTTACTCCAGGTGACTGACTGCCTGTTGGCTTCCAAGGCTGATAGTCCATCAGATCAGGCCCTTCAGCCTCCCCCTCAGAGGAGTCAGACCAAACCCAAAGAGGAAAATTGTGCCAGTTTTCTTTGGTAAAGAGAAGGCTTGGGACCAACAGTATATTCAGGTAATGCATTGCCCATTCTGCACTAAGACAGGATTTAAGCAGAGTTATGGAGCAAGCCACAGTGTTCGGATTCATGCCCAACATTAAGCTATAAATCATGGTATGTATACCAGCTGGGTATACGCACTGCGCTAAACCACTAACAACAAGCCACTTCGCACACAGAGAAGAATCCAGCCTCTGTTTACTGATCAAAATTCCAGTTTACCCACTCAGCTGGAACAGATAATATTGACTTGGACTGAATACTTGTCAGCTGATCATTCTTCAGCCAACTACCACATATTAACACATTCCTTACATTTTTTTTCTAGAACTGGCAAAGCCCCAGTTTTTTAAAGCCTGATTTTTCCTGCTGATGAAGGAAGTCGAGCAGTCGAACAAATATGGAAGGGAAGGAATGGGGCTGTGGTGTTAACAAAATGCTGATAAAGACAGGAGTTTCTCCAGTTTTAAAGCTACCTTACAGGGCCGTCCAAAGGAGGGTTCAAAACAGTCACGACACACGTACAAAAGGTGCCAGGACTCAATTGCACCGCTGTGGCCACCATCTTGACTTTTTTGACCACCCCCGCTGGAGACGCCCACCTATCTTAGCCTGATCCCAGTTTCCCAAACTTTTGATTTGATAATGTCAGCTGGGATCACTCGCCTAGTAAGCTACGCTGAAATAAACTCAGGTTAATTCTAAACAAACTTAGGCTGTACAAAAGTAGCCACTCGGTTGTTTGCTGGTCTAGTTCAAGCAATTGCGTGAATGCTGCCATAGCATAACATGGGGTGGAAAGACAATCTACGGTGTGCTCTGGATCCATCTGAAATGCGGAAGGTGAAATGACCAGACATGCAGATCTGGAGGAGCGCAGCTCCTTTCGGGCTCCAGGGTTACCTTGACAGACGTGCCCTCTCTCTGCCCGCGTCGCATCACCAAGAACTTGGCGTCTTCGTCTCGGGGTGAGGAGCGCTCCTCTGCAAACGCCAGGAAGGTGGACTCCAAGGGCAGGTAGAGCAGAGCTGGGATGCGATACGTGACACTCCCTTTCTGGCGGAACACGGTCACCTTCTCAGAGCCCACCGGAGCCTCAGCCATCTTCTCTGGAGACAGAAACATTCCAGGAGGGGGGAAAAGAGAAGTCAAATCAGGCCAGTATTTCCCATCTCCAGCAGTATAATTTTCAGTTGACAACATTAAGATATGTGGACTTCAATGCCCAGAATTCCCCCCCGGCCGCTTTGTGCTGGTGGTATGTGGTGTGGTGGGGTTTACCCACATTAAATTTACTAAAATTTATAAGATAATA